GAGATCCCACACCTGCCTGATGTCAGACGTTAAAGCAGCAGAATTTAACTCAGACCTCGAAAGGATGCAGGGCAGGATTGTGAGGTTTCTGAAACTGGTGGGGATGTTGGTTTGACTTTTTGTGCCCTATGGATGTGCCATTAAAATGACAAGAAGCTGACATGCCAGCAGCAGATGAGCTTTTGAGCAAGAACTACTTATTATTAAACACTTTTGCATTACAAAATATGTTTACCCCTTGAGAACTCTGTATCTGTCGCAGAGATAGTAACACATAGCTAATGTAGCCCGTCACTGGTAGTTTTTTAAACACATGAAACTGTGCTGTGAAATATTGTTGAAATTCAATAATTGAAAAAGCACATTTTCTGGATGCATAACAGAAAACCTAGCACATCCTACATCTCATTTTCATCTTTCATTTCTCCTGTCCTTGGGGACTCCTTTCCTAAGTCTTCAAACTACATATTCATCACCCCATGAGTCAGATGGATAATGATATTATGACATTAGTGACAGGCAACCCAAATGCCTCCTGTGACAATTGAACCCATCCATCCATTATCTACATCGCTTATTCCTGAATAGGGTCACGGGGGGGCTGGAGCCAATCCCAACTAACACTGGGAGAGAGGTGGGGTCCACCCTGGACAGGTCGCCAGTCTGTCACAGGGCTGATATGTAGACAGACAACCAAACGCATTCACATTCACTCCTACAGGCAATTTAGAGTTGCCAGTCAACCTAAGCTGCATATCTTTGGACTGTGGGAGGAAGCTGGAGTACCCGGAGAGAACCCACGCAGGCATAGGGAGAACATGCAAACTCCGCACAGAAAGGCCCCGGGCCAGCCGGGCTCAGACCTGGAACCTTCTTTCTGTGAGGCAACAGCGCTATCCACCACCACACCACTGTGTCACCGACAATTGAACTCCGGCCTCAAAATATCTGTCCCCTTTCATGTCCCACTTTCTCTCAGCCTTCCTGGATTCAGCGTTTGCTGAATCAGTTGCCGCCAGAAAGTTTGCTAAGTGAACAGAGAATGGGTAATACACTCATCCCCTTTGATGTGGTGGACACGATAAATAGCATTCCTGACTCTTGCCTTGTGTTTGAGGAGGAGACTCAGTGAGTCGTAGCAGCAGTTGGAGTTGAGAGCTAAACAACACACACAGGGGCACACTGAGTTTATCTGAGAAACTCAGGACCTGCATGTTACTGTTCTCATAAAGGAATAAACTGTTTCTTTAACTATTTTTAAAGATAATGTGATACGATGCTTTCAGGTTGCTGTCTGTCCGGGATAATGAAATACCTTGCTGGGAAAACGTTTGCCCGAAGCCAGTTCTCTGTTCTTCTGTTAGCTAATTAATGCCCCCCAGAGGATGAAGGAGTTTTGTGGACTGTTCTGGGGGTTCATCACCAGTATGCCCTCTTAACACACCCAAATCCTAGGCGGATTTTTCTTTTTTGCCTCCATTCTAGGACACGTGGTGTAGATCCATCCATGGTGTGTTGGAATATTTTTAACATTGTGCAACACAAAAGTCACACTAGATGAGACACTTTCCACTGTAGTATATTTTACTGTTACTCTTATTTAAAGAGCCCGCGGCATGCTTTTCCTTGTTTTCTCACTTATCCACAATGTTACAGTGGTGAATTATCATCTTAGATGTGACATAAAGCTCAAAAAATTGCCTGTACATACAGTATGTTATAGTATTTCTATACAGAAGCAACTGGGTTTATACACATCTCGCAAACTATCGCAAGACTTTCTTTCTAACAAAATAAAGTATTATGTGATAGTTTAAGGATTTCCTTGAATGGGCATGAAATCCAGGCCTTTGCGCATTCATGTGAGCTTGCCTGACATCTACCGGTCCCATTGTAAAAGTGGAATTTTTCAACTTCGCCTGGTTTTGTGGATCTATTTTACCTCCTGCTGCTGCACTGTGACCAGAGGATGTGGAGAAAAATACAGGGCCGGAGGTTACTGCATGTCCGGGAGTGTTCCTGTGCAGGGACTCAGTGTTTTACCTGACCGGGTCTAACGTACAAGCAGCTGCCCTGTAGGTGACTGATCCGACCCCGGCGGCGGTGACTGATCAGCTCATCAACCTGGATCCCCCCAGAGCACAGTACCTGTTTATTTTGACTGCTTGAGGCCAGTGTGTCTGCTGCATGTGATGTGTTGCTGGTTAAGGAATGGATTAACAATGTTATTGTTAGCTCTATGCTACCTGTTGGAATTAATTTCACTACTTTAGGACTGTATGTGGTCGTGTGGGGGAACACACAGTGACCACCGGTTGGATTTACAGACCTTTGGAGCTACTTGAAAGCTACTTGGAGCTATGTTTCCAATACTGGGTGGGACTTAATGGTAAGTTTGAAAAAACACATGTTGCCTGTCTGTTAAATCATTGTTTCTGTAATGTTAGAATTGTTCTAAGGCTGGAGAAGTTACTATGTCTGCATTATGTCAATTAAAATATGGGGTTTCTCAATTGCCGCTTTGTTTAGAGTGTTGCACATCTCTTTTCATCAGTACATATACCATTGTTTACCTATCTATGGAGGAGAAATTCATATTAATTAATGCTGTCGCGGTTCATTGTGCTGTCCACTTGCAACACAACACCATCAGCAGGAGGTGTGCGCTTTCACAATCTGTCTTCTCATTTTAAAGAGGTTTTTTGGCTTTCTGATTCTGAAACAATTGCAAACTATTAGTAGTTATGACAGGTGCCAAGATAATCTAGAGGCACCCAAGATTAAACATTAAATGGCTGGAAACAAGCAAAATGAGCATGCCATCGGCACTTTAACACACTCAGTGTTGTCTGTGAGGATTTTGAGTTGTTAAACAGCGATCAGAATTTGGCTTCAGTAATTGGGTTGATTTTAGCCAAGAATCAGAGTCTGTTTGCTCTGTACGAAACCCATCATTCATAATTTTTTCACCAGCTCCTCATCATAAGTCATCGTATGGGTGTTTTCTTCCAGGATAATTATGTCTTTTTCTAAAGGAACATAGACGCAGTGTGGACTTCAAACAGCATGCGAGAGAGCGAGAATCTCATGGGGTCTTTCTTCTTGGCTGCGATGGACTAAATAATCGCTTGTCAATTTTTCAAAGCATTTCATTCCCAAGAACGTGATTAAAATGAGTCCAATGAAGAGGGTGATGACAGAATAGGTTAAAGCTAACAGGACTTCTGATAAAGAGATCAAGGCAGACAGCCAGGCCAGTGTGCACATGTGATTGGTCCCTGGGATCTGGTACCATCAAATGGTTCTTGTCTTGTTATTCAGTGATTTTCAGCAGCGAACGAGTGTCCCAATGAGATCGCATATCACTGCGATTCTTTAACCTCTAGAGTCCTGAGCTTTGGAAACCCAAGCTGTGCGGTCCTCATATGAGGACGCAGGGACTCTAGAGGTTAAGTGATTTCATCACATCTTCTATATATACAGTATTTTGTGTTCAGTTATTCACATCTTGGATTTCAGCCAGAACAGTTATTCATTCATTACAATTGTTGGGTTATTTTACTGGCTATTTGTCAGTTATTGCTAAAACATGAATTCATTCATTGTGTATTGTACACTTAAAATGGACAACATGTGATTTAAGATTCAAGATTAAGAAAGTTTTACTTTTATGACAACAGTGGCATTTGTCAGTCAAATGTTCCGAACACATCTCATTTTATTAAAGACTTTGTGGAAATGTGTTAAAATAAAAGTCACATGCACACAAGCTTATACATAATTTAAACTAAACATGTTCTAAATTAGATTATGATATATAGCAATAGTACAAATTCTATGCGCAATAAGTTTAAATTAGTAAGAAAAGTATCATTACAGTTAGCAGTTAGTCTGGCCTTTTGGGAAATATGCTTATTTTGTTTCAAGTCAAGTCAAGTGTTTATTGTCATATGCACAGTGAGGAAACGTGTTTCCCTGTACAATGAAATTCTTACTTTGCCGTCCGCACGAATGCCACACAGTATAAATGAAATATAAAGTAGATACGTACATGACACAAAAGCTAAATCACAAAATCTAAGGCACTTTAAAACAGCCAATGAAAGAAGCATAATGAAAAATACAACAAGAACACAATGTAGTGAAGAGAGAGTGTAGAGAGTTAGATGATATTAACTACAGACCTAGAGGCTTATCTTAGCATGAGGACACAGTGAAGACACATTCTCTAATTTGTTTAATCTATAGAAAAACCAAAATGTATGGACTCTGTCTCTATAGCAAATGTACAGACATGAGACTAATATCTTCTCATGTAAAACCCAGCAAATATATGTATTTACCCTAAGGATGTTTGGAAATTTTAAAGTTATAGGAGCAGAATTTTAGGCATAAACTTTGATTGCAGACCACGTCAGAAAAGTTAAAGATAAATGTTTTTTCCTGTCATGCTAATGTTAAACTACAGACTTTTCTCACAGCAATCAGTCATCATAGCAGGAAGAGCACAGGTGTAACCAATAGGATTATTTAAGGCTTCGTTTCATGTAGGTGTGCCTGTGTTTGCCAAGTCATAATATCCACTGTGAGAAAGGTCTTGATGTTACCCTCTTGTGATGGGAAACATATTATTCTTTTAGTGCATGGATTACATAGTTGACTCACTAAATTGCTTATTCAAATCTTGTACACCAACAAAATGGTATTCAAATGGAACAGTATTTTAATATCTGACGGATATTATAGCAGATTCCAGCTGACACTGGGCAAGAGGCGGAACAAATCATGATCCCTCTTCTGTTATTTATGTGACCGCCTAATACAAATATTTTCTTCATGCAAGGATGCATTGAATGTTGTAATAATGTCACAGAACAGTGAAAAGGAGTGGCTGTGGGTGTAATCAAACACCTCAAGTTTTATTACCAGCACATCCTGGCTGTTCAGTCCAAAAAGGATGCTGCTTAAACAGTTGTCATAACACAGTATACTGTAGAACAAGGGTTAAAATGTTATCGGGAAACTCTTCAGTCATCCCTGTGTGTGTGTGTGTGTGTGTGTGTGTGTGTGTGTGTGTGTGTGTGTGTGTGTGTGTGTGTGTGTGTGTGTGTGACAAATCATAATAAAAGGCACCTTGGAGTTATTGAGGCAGAATCCTTACTTTTGGTGTTGTTAACCTCTGTGTCATACAGTATTTTAAAATGTCTTGATAAGATCTGCTGTCTAGTTGCAGTGTAGTATTTTACATCAGCACTTGACTTTTCCTCATTACTGAACATATTCAGCCTGTCAGCCACTGCTTCATCATTTTCCACTCTCTTCTGTTGTTCTTTTGTCTTCTTAGCTGACACAGTTTGACCCATTTGACAGTCCTATTGTCACTAAAAGCTCGTCCTTTAGGCTCCACTTCAACATGCTAACATATGTCATGCTGAGGCAACTGTGCTCACTTACTTCCAAAGGAAATGCGCTCTTTTGGCCTCTTAGATTTGTGAAGTGTAATTCCCAATGCTTCTGTTCTGGAAGATTATACTCTAACTTATTAGAAGATATTTTTTTAGAAGACAGATCATCTGCGTCTGTTAAAGAGAGAATTATACATTAAAGACTCTCGAGGGCTCAGATCTAATATCTGCTTGCCCTTGAAGGCACAAGTGGAGCAGTGAAATTGGTAATATTAAGAGACGGGAGTGGGACATGGAGATAGGGCATTGTGTTTGTTTTTTACCTTGTTCTCTGGATTTGCTGCATGCCCTTGTATGTATGTATATGACAGCTAGACCATGTGTTGCTGTTTGTCTGCGTATGATTGTGTGTGCATAAGTGGCTCTGTCTGTGTGCCAGTGTAGAAGGGAGTATAACAGCCTATTTTTTGTGACACTCCTTTGAAGTCTCTTTGATTCTTCCCAGAGCCCACTAAAAAGACTTCAGACACTTTCTGTCTGATTGCCTTAACATGGCGTTGTCCTGGGATACCCAGGCTTTTGGGAGAGGGAGGTGGGCAGGAAGCTGAGCAACCAAAACCAAACCAAGGAGAGTGATGATGGATCAGGCTGCATATTTCTGTCTGAACCCGTTCCGTTCCTGAGAGTGCGGCATCCAAACCCAACAAGCTTATAGTATAATGTCCAAACCTGACCCGAGCCTGAAGCAGTTGAGTTTGTACAGTGTTTTTCCTCTTATCATTAAACAAAAGCACTCCAGCCATGTAGCCTAAAGTTTAACCTGTGTGC